CTACACTTCCCGATTGGCTACACCATCTACTTTCCCAAAACTCTCATCCTCAACGGCATCATCCAATGTCTCATCGCGCGCGATAGCACCACCTCCAAAGTCATCGACGAGTTTGTCGACCGATACCATCTGAATGCACTTCTAACGGGCAGTCTCAACCTACACCATGCTAGATTCGGCCACCAGTCCATCCGCACAACCAAGATATCGTCAAACCCCACGACATCCCTATTCCAGCACCGCTGACCTACTGTGAGGACTACCAACTCCGTCCGATATTCTTCGACAAACACGCCATACAGATTTTTGGCACAGTCGACATCGACATGTTCGCCAACGAGCATAACCGTCAAGTCCCTACTTTCTGCTCCATTGACCATACAAACAAAGTCACCCCACAGCACCAAACCTACACGCAAAACTGGCACCAGTCCACTATACGACTCTACAGCAACCTCCCACGGAAGGACTCCCCCCGAGGCACCACCAACTTGAAAAGAACCAACAAGATCTGTTTCTTTCCCATCAAGATCAAAGCCGCCGTGTGGTCTAAACTCCTGGCTCACCTCCAGTCGCAAGTTCAAGTTATCCCCTCCTCTCCCAACATATTCCTGTGGAGACCAATTCAACCCCTAAAACTATTATGAGCCTAAAATATATTACGGTTTGTACTTTGGCTGAATAACTGTATTAATATCTTACAGCACATGTCAGTTATTGTATTATATAGATAATACACATTGTAGTAAAAATTTACTTTTCATGTAAGTGTATGTTCCAACAGGTTATGGGCTTGTATCGAATATATATTTGTTTTGATATACCCTATATACATCGTTTAGATTTTCATCCCCGAGTTTCTATTTTCTGATCTCACAACACCCGATCCTCTGATTCCCTGATCTCAACCCCAAACTGATCTTAGCCCCAACCCAACCCCGAATCACAATGCGACAACCTCCGCCCACGGGCCAACTGCCCATCACGACTTTCTCTTTCTTTGATGGCGCCCAACATTTTCAACGTGATTTAATTCACGCCGTCCAACCGTACACCGACAATATCCACACCAACGCCCACATCAAGTTCGGCCGCCCATTCTCTCCGCTTTTCTTGATAAAAGCACATGCCGCCTTTCCCCAACTTGATCACTGATCGCAACAATCACCAACAAGACAACACATGTACAGTCGGACCTCACCTGTATCTGACGAGACCGCAGCAGTCATTCCACCGAGCTTGATACAATCCGCACCGAATCCACCAAACAATCTACATGGATTGCCATTCTTAGAGCTGACCTTACCCGTGTCTGACACGAACGTAGCACACTCCTCGGCGAACGCAACACCGCAACTGAAGATCGAGATAAAGTACGGGCAGACTGTGACCAGCACACCATAGAACTCACCATCCTTGCCGCCGAACCGAACAAGGCACAATCATCACTGAACATGATCAGCTTGCAGAATATATCGATCGCATCCAATCCGATCAGAATACATTCAGCACTGAGCGTAATCAGGCGCATTCTGACTGCAATAAACTCGCTCTCAAACGTGATACTCTTCATCGCGATCTCACACGTACAGAAGATAGCAACACAAACACTTCCACGGAACACGAATTCTTGCGCAATGAACGCGACGAGGCACGGGTGAACTCAATCAAGCCCAGGCACCACCATCCCTGATACGCACCTCGGGGCCGCTCATACTACACTTCGTCAAGCCCGCGTCCTTGCTGAAGCCGACATTCAATGCCTACGCCCTGACCGCAACGCACACCCTGCCAACCTAACCCAACGGGCCGTAGCGGAGATTGATGACCTTACCAATGCCGCCACACAGCTCTATGAGGAACTGCATCAGACTCTCACAGTCTTCGCCAACAACTGCAGGAGAAAAATCCGCAAGCTCTAACATCGTTCCACATCCATCCCCTTGTTCTCCCCACCCCAATCTCGCCCCGATTCGCCTCCCTCACTTGGCACTCCCAGCCACTACTCTCATCCAATTCCCAAAATCCCTGACAGTTGCGCCAGCAGCGGTAAGCACCTTAAATACTCTAGTAAATACCCTGTCAGAAAACTTACTGAGGGCGACAGTTTTACCAACTGGCATCGGCAGCTCAAACGCATACTCAAAAAGAGCGTGACGTTCTCCACACTCTGCACCCTGCTCCCACCGCCGATTCCTACGAGAAGACTGTTTGCATCGCCATCTTGTTCGGATTCCTCGGTAACTGCCTCCCTCCTTGCCCAAATTTCCCCCGCGTTCTATCGTCGCCTATGTTACCAAAATGCGCAACTATGCCATCAACAACAAACAATCTTGTTTTATAATACATAATTCTTCATCCAGACTCCGGATATTTTGGATTTTCAACAATCTACGTGTATCCAATACAAGCACCACAATACTGTGAAAATGTTTGTTGGTATGTGTGCATCAAGGCATTGTGTGTTTGCTCTCATATATACCCTAGACATATAGGCGACTGAGATATTTTATTACTATGCAAATATATCGTATATGACAAACTGTGGCCCAGCTCGTCGACCGTAGGGGACAAGGGAATTCATATAAAATATTTGTTATCTCATAACTCCAGGTATAATATGTCGCCCATGCTAACGACCAATACACAATTTACAGTAGAATAAAACGAAGAGACAAAAACAATAGCTTCTAGCCGCACACATATAGTGTGTCAATGCAAGAACTGTGCTGTTTAGAGTGTCGAGGACTGAAGTGCGCATTGTCGATCTCCACTTCTCAAAGGCGGCAGAGGTCTGACTCTATTATAACCGATACCATATCCCCAATAGTTTGGCGTTGAGTAGTAATAAATAAAATAAATAACATCCAGAAGATCAATCTATATTATTGAAATTCTATTCAGCATTTACTTTTCTTAGTTAATCTGGGAGAGCCATCGAGAAGTCACCGTATAACGACCGACTTTTTTTCTTCTGTCAACAGTGAATACAATACCGTCGCCCTCCCAAAATGATTTTGAATACATAATATTGTTTAAGGGCTGCATTGCAGGACAATTGAAAACCTGCGGATGGAGTCCACAAGGTTTATTGCGTGGCTGCCTTAGCAATTTGTCTTTGACGCTGTCAGTATTCATCAGCCAACAGAGCAATTTGATTCATTTTACTGTGCGTCTATTTGTAAAGGAATTAGAACGCTTGCTGCTAGTTCATCTTGTTGCTCTCCTACTGTTCGTAGATTCTCAATAATTGTCAAGTATACAGGAATTTTAACATCTACACTCAAGTCACCAGTTGGGAATGTTGGTGCAGGTCAATTACACGATACACTAGTGCATAGTGGCGAGTCAACATAACTAGTTGTAGCTGCGGTTTTATAACGATGCAAAGGGTTGGCCTCGGCAAACTGCTGTGAAATTGTCTAACAAGAGTCACGACATGTATATACTTGCCGCCTGTACCTAAAGGACATTCACAGAAACCGAACTCAATGAGATACAATTTTATTTTCAAAGAAATGTAATCCGGCAAATGCTGCTTTGGTGGATGGCCGCTGTGGTCGCGGTACTCTTGCGTGTACAAATACTTCTGAATGATCCAAATCTAAATCAGTACATACCGCAATAGCCATCCGCCTGTAAGCACAATTGAATATTGCCTTATCGATCGCACTTGTGTTGCTCTCTACTATTGTAGGGACATGTGCAACAGTTCTGTTGCGTCTCGTGGCATAAGCAGCTTTGCCAAAATAATTGAGCATGGTATCAAGGTTAGGGTTTAGGGTTAGGGTTTAGCATAGATGCGAGGCAATGGGTACCAGACCTCCACCTTAACAATTACATATCGCCGTGGGAATACCTTACGATTAGCAGACACCCCTTTAGCTTCAATTGTACACTTTCTAGCTGTGGTAGAATTAATCTCACCATGACTATAAGCATTAACCAGGTCATCTGAATTTTTCGATCTTATAAAGATTGCTATTTCCTCAGAAATATTATTCTTAGAAGAGATCGTGATGCATTTTGTGTTGTCACTGTCGACGACCCAGCAGTTGACGTACGCATGCAGAGCCGACATAATGGAGCTATAGCACATAACAGAGGTCCCAGGAATACCCATTTTGTGCAATCCATGTGATTGAATTTTCAACCTCCTGTAGAGTCGCAATCAAGATATAATCGTGCTGATCACAACAGTAAAACACTTGCCTACGTAAACCATCAAGCGGTCGCCCACGAACGTGCAGGTGCCGGATATAATCACAGTCTCTAACTGCATCTAGCAATAAAGGAAGCATGAGCCATATTTCCACTTGCAGATACGCCTTCATATGTTCCGGCGTTACGACACATACACCAGATGTAGTTGGTATTTTTTAGTAGCTTCTTTCGTTTCGTGATTCAAAACATATACTGACTCCTGCATACATCTCACTATTCCACATAGCAATGAACGAGCTCTCTGGGGATTGTCTAAATAATCGATAGGCAAGCTATGCACTAGCATCACATACGAGCAACCCATGGCGAGACAGCATCCGATCGCAGTGCGTGCATGGTCCCAAGTTCTTATAGCCACAGTGGCCACAAGCTTGACGCTCTCTTTGCTGCCCCCCCCTTGGCCTTCCTTGTCCCGCAAGCTTGCCATTTCTTAAATGCATCAGAGGCGCGTTCTTTAAACTGTCGGTGCTCCTCTGCCTTTGCCGGTGGTATGTTATCGTCAAACACGGAAATCGGTTCGCACGACAAACTTCCGCAAGTCTCCTCGTGCATGCGAAAGACCACTCCAAACTGCGCCTCAACAGCATCAGTCGCTTCACTGTACATTCGCATGCACATGTATGGATGTTGCTCGTTCCAATGATCACTAACGAGATGCAATAGTACGGATGTATCAGTGAAGCACTTTTTGTATTCATAGTGAATGGCGTAAGTTATTCGCTGCTCTGTCCTCTTAATAAATATATACACACACATATATATATATGTATATATATATATATGCATATGTATATGGATATGTGTA